TTAACATTTTCCTCTGCGTTATCAAAACACCTTGTAATAGTCTCGAATCAAATCTCAGTTCATTAGTAGCTCAATTTTCCTCTTTGTTTTTGTTGCTTTCTTTTCTAAACTATAAAATTCTTTTTCAGCCAGCCCGTAGGCCATATCAGGCGCGTGAAGTCAATACCAGCTGACATCACTCACCCCAAGTTAGCCTGACCAAATACAGCAGGCTAATTTTTTTTTTTTATTGATTAATTTTTGTTACAAATGATTCTCCTTTTTTCCCCCACTGATTCCCCCCTCCCCCTTCCCTCCCTACCCCTTCCCCAGATTGTTGTCCATGTCCACTGTTCATGCATACATGCATATAAGTTCTGTGGTTCATCCCTCTCTCACCTCCCCACTCCTTAGGGGATTGTCCTCAAACTGTTATGTTCATTATATTCCACAAATCAGTGAGATCATATGAAATTTGTCTTTCTCTGTTTGGCTTGTTTCACTTAGGATGATACTTTCCAGGTCCCTCCATGTAGTCTCAAAGGATAAGAGATCTTTCTTTCTTACCGCTGCGTAGTACTCCATTGTGTATATGTACCACAGCTTTTTAATCCATTCGTCTACTGATGGACACTTGGGCTGTTTCCAGATCTTAGCGATTGTAAATAGTGCTGCTACAAAGATGGGGGTACATATATTCTTTCTGATTGGTGTTTTATGCTTTGTAGGGTATATTCCTAGAAGTGGGATCACTGGGTCAAATGGGAGATCAATTTTTAATTTTTTGAGGTGACACCATATTGTTTTCCATAGTGGCTGCACCAGTCTGCATTCCCACCAACAGTGTACTAGAGTCCCCTTTTCTCCACACCCTCGCCAACACTTGTTGTTTGATGATTTGTTGATGGCGGCCATTCTGACAGGTGTGAGGTGATACCTCATTGTTGTTTTGATTTGCATCTCTCTGATGATTAGTGATGAAGAACATTTCTTCATATGTCTCTTAGCCATTTGTATGTCCTGTTTGGAGAGGTGTCTATTTAGTTCCTCTGCCCATTTTTTAATTGGATTCTTTGTCTTCCTTTTGTGGAGTTGTATGAGCACTCTATATGTATTGGAAATTAACCCCTTATCTGATATATCATTGGCAATTATGCTCTCCCATACAGTGGGTAGCCTTTCCGTTTTGATGATTGTATCTTTCGCTGTGCAGAAGCTTTTGAGTTTGATGTAGTCCCATGTGTTCATTTTCTCCTTTGTTTCTATTGCCTTAGGTGATGTAGTAAAAATTCTGCTGCGTATGATCTCTGAGATTTTGTTGCCCACAGTCTCCTCTAGGATTTTTATGGATTCATGAGTTACATTTAAGTCTTTTATCCATTTTGAGTTTATTTTGGTGTAGGGTGTAAGTTGATGGTCTAGTTTCATTTTTCGGCAAGTAGCTGTCCAATTTTCCCAGCACCACTTATTAAAGAGGCTGTCCTTACTCCACTGTATGCTCTTGCCACCTTTGTCAAATATTAATTGAGCATATTGCCCAGCAGGCTAATTTTTAAGTTGATAATTTTGTATGGTCCGTGAATGATGTTATAAATATGCAAATGGCCCTTGGCAGAAAAAAGGTTCCCACCCCTAAACTGATAAAGGGACAGTTCAGGGATCATGCATCTTCAGTGCAGGTATGAAGCCCTGGATTTATTTCAACCTCAGCGTGTATTAGATAAAATTGATAAGGGAGCCAAGGGATGCGATGTGGGCTCGGCTCTGTCTGGAATAATGCTCAGTTTGGTTGTGGTCACTGGACCTGTCTGTCCTCTCCCTCTTCCTCCAAGAAATTGATGAAACGCCTCTCTCACGAGATTTGTGCGGGAATAAAATGAGATAATGTGTGAAAGTGTTTTCAAAGTTGCAAAGCACTAAAGAGAAATAGGTAGTGGTCTTATAATTATTATAATTGAAATAACAAGAAAAATAAGGTGGTGGTTTTTTTGTTTTGTTTTGTTTTGTTTTATCGTGCTGAATGAATCAAAACAGCTATGCTTCTTATGCAGCAAATGGTTGCAATTCCTACATTGAAATTTTACTTGATTTGGTATGTTCTGGTAATGCACTTGGCTTTTCCACACACAGAAACATGGCATTTAGAAGATGCTCGAGGTGGAGTGTACTAATGTATTCTTCTTAAGGTTTTTATGTGTTCATGAGGATCTATAAAATAATTATTCTTCCCTCTGAATTTTTTATTTTCTGTAAAAGTAGCAATCACAGCAATTCCATGAAGAGAATATATTCTAAGATTATATTCTGCTGTAAATCAAACTTTGATTGATTCTCTGAATCAGTCATACCCTGTGAATCATTCATATTCCCATATTGTTTTTTTTACTGTACATTTTTACTGTTTCTCCCCTAGATGAAAGAAGAAACATAGTGAATGTAGAATCTTGCAGGAAGGCTAGGTGAATTTAAAGAATTCCATTATCACAATTTAGATTTTTTCCCTAGACTCTGAAGTATATCTTCGATATAAACAAAAAAACCCATTTTTAGGAAATACAGTCTTTATTCTGCTTCATAACTTGCATAACCGTACTATATATTGAAGCACAAGTGGTGATGTTTTCCAAAGCACGAGAATGCTCAACTGATGAGCTGTGGACTCATCTCAGATCCAGGCACCATCAGGGCGTCTGCAGACGTGGATGGGACAAGACAGCGAGTTACGTGTCTGTAGGTTCTGTAGTTATTGCTGCCTGTGAGCTCAGTCCCCTGGCTGCTTAGCTTTAAGCACCCTGTTCAGGGAGGGCTGAATGTAACTTGTTACTAAACAGAAAAGCAGTTTGTGCAAAGAGACACAGCACTGATCATCAAGTCTTCAGAGGTTACTAGCTTGTCCTTTCCCTGGGTGGTGCCTCATTCGCAGTAACTTGCTCTGTTGGCTGCAAGAGTCACTTCCTCAAAGGTCACTTCCTGCTTCACAGGACTCACAGCGTCCCCTGGCCAGGACTAACTGTTCACATTGCACTACCCATAGTCATGAACCATACGGACATTGGCTGCATCCTTCCTCCGGAGCAGGCACTGTGCGGGGCCCGGAGGAATCACCATGAATGACAGACACATTCCTTGTCTTCAGGGGTTTATACTCCAGCACTGCTTGTTGTAAGCTTGGAAATAAGACCATGTTTCAGCCAGAACTACCAGAAAGTTTGACTTTTTGGAGCAATGTCAGAGGGTACCTCCCACCATTGTGGATTTGGGTCCTGGCTCTCTTCCCCGTGGGAAACTCTGCGTCACCAGAGTCCTGAGAACGTTGTAGTTGACACCGGTTTGATTTTTATAACATCTAGAGTTCTTATGGATTCAGTACAGTATTTATAAGCCTGGGAAGAAGACCCTGAATGACAACACGAGAAATGAGTTATAATGGAACATCATCTACAATTGAAAAACAATTTGCTGTAGCACAAATGTATCCCTCTTAGTGTGTAAAACTGGGCTTCTATTTTTGTTAGCTGTGTAAACATATTGGATTTTTTGCAGATATTATTTTAGGGAAAGTTCAGCCATAAAGACCTAACATATCTGTCAAAATTGTTAGTTATCAAAGTTTAAATGACACAGAGTCCGGAATGACCGTGTGTGAAAAAGAAGGAGATAAACCACTGGCCGTTTTGCTGAGTTACACTGGTTTGGCTCACTGTTTTCTCTTCTGCATTCTCCCTCCTTTCAGAACCCAGCCCTCTTCCTGGGAAATGACTCTCAAAGTACATCTCCTCATTAGAGATGTCCCTGTGGCCAGAACCACAGGCCAAAGTCTGCCAGGAGGTTAGCAGGGTGCGAAGTCCTGGTTTACTTCACCGTCTAAATTACATGTTGATTAAAAAGTCCCCCAGAGGCAAAGGTTCGGGGTTCTTGGAAAAGGCTTTGCCTGATGCTGACCCAGATTTAAGCCTCATCTCTCAGGTCCCTCCAGCTCCCCATCACCAACTTCCTTTGGCCTGGACAATTGAGAGCACCTCCCCCTCTCTGCTCTCCCTGGAACCTCCCTCATCATCGATTCTCTACGCAGGAGCCAGAGTGGTCTTTGAAAACCTAAATCCAAGAGACTCCCTGTTGTTCCTAGATTAAATCCCAGCCATCCTGCTGTGGCCTGAGAATCACTGCACGTTCTGGCCCCCGCTCAGTTTTCAACCTCTTCTCATGCTCATGCCGGTTTCCTGATCCACACACCCAGCCACTCTGCGCTCCTTCCTGCCCCTGGAACGGGCCATCGCAGGCCGTTTCCCAGGGAGGGCCCGTGGGCCTGGAACACTCGTCCCGGGCTCTTTACCTGGCCGGCTCCTCCTTTAGTCTCAGCTCCCGTGGCCTCTCCTGAGAGGCCCTACCTTGGCCTCTAGCGTGTGCTCCCTGCCCCATCATTCTTTTTCCATTACTCTGTTATCATCAGAACACTCAACGCTATCTGAATTTATCCCTCTCTTTTGAACTTTTTGCCTATCTTTTTGTTTATTTTCATTTTTTATCCTCACCAGAGGACATTTGTACATGTATCTTCGGATAGAGCCGGGGGGGAGAGAGGGAGGAAGAGAGAGAGAGAAATATTGATGTGAGAGGGACACATCGAATGGCTGCCACCCACAAGACCCCAACTGGGGCCGGGGACAAACTGCAACGAGGTACATGCCCTTAGCGGGAACAGAACCCGGGTCTCTCTGGTCCGTGGACCGACGCTCTAACCACTGAGCAAAGCCGGCCAGGGCTGCCTATTTTTTTAAAAACAACTTTTGCAGAATGTAAATGCCACTTGTACCTCTTCTGTTCACAGCTGGGTCTCCAGTGCCTGGCACACAGTGGTGTATTTGTTGAGTGACTACATGCGCATGCGATGGCCCAGCTGATCACTGAAGAGTGCCCCCAACTCGGACCCCACACAGTTCATGCGTTCCGAGTTCCAACTCGGTTTAAACCACAGAAGACTTGGATATACTTTTCAATTTAGTTTCTTTTTTCTGTTTCAGTCCTCTCTAATAAATAGTGACATTATCTTTGTGAAGTTGCATGCCCCATGGGAAGTGCTTGGAAGATACGCAGAACAAATGAATGTAAGAATGCCTTTCAGGTAGGTGTAAATGCATTTTCCCGCTCTCTCTGCTGCTTCTCTGTGAACCCCACGTGCTCCTTTCCCAGAACAGACAGAACTGAAATTCAGACGGGAATGCTCTTAGGGAAGAAAATCCGTCAAATGTGTAGGAAGTGCGGCAGGTCCTTCTGGCCAATAGCGATTTCATGGCGTTTTGTGAAAATGTCTGGCTAATTCGTTCTTAGCGGTTAGATGTTTCCCGTGTCTGTGGAAAAGAATGTTTTCCACGTGAATATTTATGTCCAATGTCCCATTTTGGGGAGCACTTTGCACCACCGCTTTGCTGAGCCAGACTCCAGGCGCCAGAGGTGCCCTGCAGTATTCATGGTCCTTACTGACAGGTGCCTCTGGACAAACACTGAAATCTGCCCCCGTAGAAACGAGTTCAAGAAATTTCATGAAAACGTGCTCTAATTTTAAACATCACCAGTATTTAAATTTTTAAAAGTCAGTTTATAAATACCGTGCCAACACAAGCATTGCTATTTATTCCAAGAGGAATAAAAAATGCTTTGTGTGGATTGCTTAGTTATTGTAAGAGATTAATTTACCTTAATGTCACAGTAAATATTCTTATTTTCCCTATAGGTTAAGGGAAAGTAATTTTTATTTCCTAGATATAAATAAAATAAAGTCCTAAACTTGAAAATAGAAATGCGAAGGTATGTGGGAAGTCCATAATGGAATCTTCTAAAGGAGGTGGAGGGTTTTAGTCCCAAGGACAGTACCAAAGGGAATAAACCGCTACATACATTTGGTTTGCAATTTGCCAGTAAGACCTGGTCAGATGATAGGAATCTGGCAAACTGTTGCAAATTGTAACATACGCCTCTTAATGAAGTGTGGGAAGTAAAAGAGGCAAAGAATCAGCTACATTCATAGAGACAGAGAGGAGCTAGGGACACAGAGAGAGAAGGCCAGTTTCCATTCACAGTCCTGTAATATATCTCCCTGGTGTATATTATTGTCTTTGTTTGTTGGCCTTTATGTTCTAATATTAAGTCCAAATAGAGACTGGGATTTCTAGCATCTACTTGCCTTGAGGCAGAATTCTCAAAGGAATTGAGATAAACATCTTTCTAATCTTTGGATTTATGTTTGCATTTAAAATGCTACAAAGGAAAATAAAATAAAATGTTGCAAAGGAAATCTAATAACCCAAGGATTTAAAAAAGATATATTTTCACGAGGAGAGAAAAGGATTATCAATTTAGTTTCCATGGAAAATTGCTACACTCTAATTATCATGAAGTAAAGCCAGCTATGTATCCAGCTCTCTAATATGGATTAACTCTGTATCACACATGAGGACCACTACAAAACATGCTTAGATTGGCTTATATATCCAACCCACATCTTCTAGCCAACAAAGCCAAAGTCGACCTTCTGGTAAAAGCAAGGTAGTGAAACTTAGTGGAACTGGTACCCACTCCCAAAGAGAAATCACAAAACCTCCTACAAGACATATGTCTGGAGCCAGGAACCCAAGCAGACTGTGGAAACTTGAGTGTTGCTAGCATCGAGCAACTTCCCGTAGTACCTGGAAGGATGTCCCAGCTGAAGGACCCGGCCACATCACGGAGGACACTTCTGCGTGCTCATTACCCAGCAGAAAGTGGGCAATACCACTGCTTTTCTGCTGAGGCAGTAAGAGAGTGCGATCCAAGCAATAACATGAAAACCATAAATAGTGAATAATAATCTTCTTTTTAAATGTAGGAATTCGTGTAGGACAACGATTTTAGGAGAAAATACTCTTAATGTGTGGACCTGAATAGGCCTCATTAATATTGAGGTGACTTTACCCGAGCTTAGCTTCACTCGGTTCAACTCGATGCATTTAGAAAGCATGCTGTCTTCTCATCCAGCATAGCAGACAGATAAGTCTAGCCCAAGGTGGTATGTGCACTTCCAAAAGAGCAACTTTCTGGCCGTGTCATTTCAACAGACTGTGCAAAGACCAGTTAGCCTGAATGTAAATGCCCTCAATAATCTTATCAGTATTTATTATTTTCTGCAGACTGCAATTCTGAATCCTAGGTTTAGTCCCCTTGGATTTTAACTCCTACAGTGTTTAAAAGGAAGTTGAGGATTAGGTTTCTGGTGGGAAATTGCCAATAATACCTGCTTCTTAAATACCTATATGTCCATGAATACGTTTTTGTCTTTAATAGACTATTTAAGAGCATTTTAGGTTTACAGAAAAATTTAGATAGTACAGAATATTCCCATATACCCACCCTCTCTCACCCCATTCAGTTCCTTTGTTAACATCTTACATTAGAGTGATATATTTCTTATAACTGTTGGACCAGTATTAATACATCATTATGAACTAAAGTCCAGAGATTACTTTAGGGCTCACTTTCTGATGCACAGTTCTGTGGGTTTTGACAAATGCATTTGTTGTATCTACCATTAAGGTATCCCACAGACTAGTTTCACTGTCCTAATAGTGCCTGGGTCTCCACCTGTTCATCCCTTCCCCCCACTACCCACCCCAACCCAAAACCCAGGCGACCACTTACCTTTTTATTGTCTCTATAATTTTGCCTGTTAACCACATGGATATGCTTTTAAGTTTTCACAGACATGAAAAATAATTTTAGGGGTATAAACTTTCCATTTTTCAAAAGAGAGATAGCTCAGTAACGGTTCAGAATACATATAAACCACCTGTTTCATGACTACTCCGTGGATCGAAGCCCAAATTATGGAGAGACTACATTTTAATAAAGCAGCCATGCTCTTCATTCCAATTATTTAATATTTAAGTATTTAAACAATGCAGGTACACAGAAGTATGATGTGTCTTTATTAAGTTCAATTTTTAAAATATTTTCCTGGATTCCTTAGTTTAGGTCTTTAATTCACCTGTAACCAGGACCACTGGTCAGACAGTATGCTCTAGTGTGGATGCTGACTGGTTAGTGTTTGTCCCACACTAGTTATAGAATACCTATATTTTTAGATTGCCCCTTCTCATGTCAAATGAGAGAAGGGTTCTGTAAACTTGAAAGTACTATGTAAATATTACTTAATATAATAGTGTCCCGTTAAGGTATGGACATGGCCAGCAGGCTGGCAGTCCACCTCTGCATCCCTGAGAAAAGGTGATCTCAGCTGAATTCATGCAAATACCAGTTGCTCCAAATCATGGCCCTGTACAGGTTTTGTAGACCAGTGGCAACCATAAAAAAAAAAAAAAAAAAATTATGGTAGTGAGGAGAGAAAGAACTGTCGATGGAAAATGTTTCCTAAGATTTCATGACTCGAAAACGCATGCCCTGTGTTCCCACTACATTCCTCACTGTTAATCTCTCTTTAGTTTTTTCTTCTTCACCTCTTACAGGCTTCTATCTTCAATCTCCTTTCCTTCCTTGCTAGTTCAAACTGTAACTGACGATGGGTTTTCTTCTCGACTGGCTTCATTTTTGCTGTTCTTCCAGGAGAAAAATCTATTACCTGCCCCGCCGGTACAAGTTCATGAGCAGGTCAGTAGCATGCTCTGCCGTGGTAGTGTTTGTCTGATCTGCTGCTTTGTGTGCTCCGGCAAGACAGAGTGCACGAGGGGCCTTTGTCACGCGAGGAAACAGCCGCCGTGCACGTCCCAAAAAGAGCTATTTTGGCTTAGCCTGACAAAACAAAAAACAAAAAAGCAGATGAAAATGTCCCTCTCAGAGTGTTTCCTCCGAGTAACCCCACTTGGGAGGATGCAATTCATCTGCAGGTGTGTTGGGGCTGTGTTTTTGTTTGTTCCTTTGAGCCCGTTCTATTAGATAACCCACCAGACTTCCCAGCTGTGTAGAGCATCTTTGGCCTGAATGTTATTTTTCCCCCACACAGATTCCTCCCTCCACCATAGATGTAACTCAATATCTTGAAGTGCAGACAGTCACCCTCTCAAAAAGCTGAGGGTTGTTTGGCCACCCCCCTTGGGTGGGTCTCTCCTATGTTGGTAATATTTTGTTAATAAAGTATATAGATGTATTTCTTCACTCAGGAGCCCTTCCTACCCTGCTTTTACCACCAAAAAAAAAAAAATCCACTGGTTGAAGTATCTTTCCAAAGCTTGTTCCTACTTGTTTGTCAAGAAGCCAGGGAGGAAAGAGAAGCATTCATGATCTTTTTTTTTAACTCAATTTATCTTTTTTAATTAAAAATTGTTTTTCAATTACTGTTTACATTCAATATATGTTTTGTATGAGTTTCAGGTGTGCAGCATAGTGCTTAGCCAGTCCTGTACTTGACAAGAGTGTTTCTCTGATACTTTGATTCTGTTGTGATCATCGGCCATACAATTTCAAATTTTCAATTGGTTTTATGTGATCAGTCACCCTGAAATGCGCTGATGCTTACATTTGGAAACCACTACGTTTCTCTGAGAGTCCTCTGCTTAATTCGGTTCTGTGGGGTTAGGATTCAAGGCTGCCCTGTTTGTGTTGTGCAGAGTGTCGAGGAAAAGAGTGAGTGATCATCTCAGTGGGTTACGCAAATGCACATACACTCGCGTGGGGTGAGAACTGACCTCCTCAGACACTAAGCTGTGTGGTTTCCCAGGGTTCCCTGCGCAGCGGGTTCCCTAGCTGTCCTTTCATTAGGTAACAGCCACGGCATTGACTTCACCGCAGCCTAGATCCGTCCCTTGTCGCATCTCGCATACATTCGAACAAAGCCGGATGCAACACTTCAGCCTCTCTCCGTTCTGAAACTTCAGCCAGCCTCAGGGTCACCTAGAGGGCCTGGGCCTCATTCCCAGGGTTTGTGGCTCAGGAGGTCTGCTGTGGGGCTGGAGCATGTTCACTCCTAACAGGTTCTCCAGGGAGGCTAATGCTGCTGGCTCTGGAAACTCACTTTGCAAACCCCTGGCCTGTGTGTTAGGTCCGTGTCCACCTTCTCGTTACATTGAGGATTTGCCTGGCTGTGGGTGGCATGAGTTAAAACCCAAATTAAATCCAACCTGAAGCAAACACAGCCAAGAGAAGATTCTCCCAACCTTCATGGCCCAGAGGGAAATATACAGTCTCTGTACATATGATTTCAACCTGTTAAGCGCAGTATACTCCAGATGCTGAAAGGAACGGAGAGGGGGGAGAACCCTTACTCTTATCCGCAGTTGCCGAGCAGCCTTCGTTAAATGGTAAACGCAAAGCCTGTCATTAAGTCAGCACTGGAGGATTCTGGGCAAGTGTCTTTGCATCTCTGAGCCTGAATTTTCCACATTTGTAAAGTGAGGATGTGAATTCCTACCCGGTAGGGTTGTTGATGTGAGGTTTAGTGCCTAGTGCGTAGCGGATCTTCAATAAATGATATCAATGATTATTCTATGTAGTATTTATAATAATAGCATGATGTCTTTTTATACTTCCCACCCCCTTTATGCTCTGAACTTGTTCTCCACCCCTTCTTGTCACTGTGCTTTTACCCCCGAGTGACAGTAACTGTTCTCCTTTTGTCCTTTTCTCCATTTATATTCTCTACAGGCCTTGTCCACTACCATACAGTGACCAGATTTAAAACCCAAGGGTCACTCTGGATGATTTTCCCCTCATGCCATCAATCTCTCAGGTTTACAGGTGCTTCCCTAGAAGTAGCTCTAGAATCCATACATTACTCCTCTAGAAACACCTCTAGAATCTATACATTATTCCCCATTCCCACCACCACTCTTATGGGAGCTCTCATCATCTCTTGCCTATTTTACATCAGTCTGTCTCCTCTGTTCTGACCCCTTTCCCTCTGGTCATCCCCACAAGCAGCAAATCTGTTCATGTCACTTGTTGGTTTTCCCAAGGTGGGAAAATAAAGTTGAAAGTCTTCAGTTTATAACACAGCTCTTTATAAATTGTCTTCACCCATCTCTCCCCTCCCCTAACTCTTTGCACCGTCCATATTGAACCTCTTATGGCTCCCAAACACCTCCTGCTTACTCGGGTTTATGTGGTCCTTTTGGAAGGTTCTTTCCTGTCTCATTCACCAAGGTGGCACCCATTCAGTCCTCAAACTCAGTTCACATGGTTGGACCTTTTGACCAGGTTAAAAGATGCCTTGTCCCAATTCTCCCATTGGCACCCTGTGCCCCCATCAGCCTGTGCCCTAATCTCTGTCCACCTTTCCAGCTGGATGGTGTGTGAGGGCCAGGGTGGCTCGTGCAGCTCTATCTTTCCAGCATCTAGCACATAGTAGGTGGAACGAGTGAATGAAGGAATCTCCATACACGTGTGTGAGGACTGGAGTGGGGAACGGGAGGGACACAAAGAACGAGGCATAGAAAGACCAGCTCTGCCCAAAGTGTCAGGCAGATTGGGGACTGGAACACTTGCTAACTCTCTGGGCAACGAGGGCTTGAAAGAAAACGGTGACAACAGGAGCCATGTTGTCTCAAGGCTGGCTAGGATGTCACATGTCATCAAATCCAGCCACTCATCATCAGACACGTGAACGCCTGCTCAGTGGTCAGCCAGCCCACATTTGAGTATCTCTGGGGACAGGGAGTTCCACGCCTGTGACTCTTAGAAAGTTCTTCCATAATCTTCTTTTCTTTTGCTGTAGTTCTGCTTCCCGGGTAGACAACATGTAATCTACAGAGAGAAAAGGCAAAGTATATGAGAAAGAGGGTGAAATTACATACCCAAAGGACTTAGCACTTAGCAAGTATCTGGAAATAGAGAGCTGGGAAGAGAAAGAGGTTTCCATACCTCAGGGACTGGAAAAATGTTGTTGAGGTACAAGAGTGGAACTCCAGAAAAGATGCAGGCATGGTAAGAAAGATGATGATTTTCCTCTTTAATAATTCTGTATCATAACTCACAGTAGGTCTTTGAGGTGTTCATGTCCTGAGGGCCTTTGGAGCTGATGGCAAACAGTTGCAGCTGGAGGTGAAGCTAGAGAGTACCGTGTGGGTGTCCAGGCATAAATGTAATGACTGCAGCCCGGGAAGTGGGTGGGATTGCCCCACGCTGGATGTAGAGAGAGAAGAGAAGAGGGCCAGTGGCCGTTCCTCGGAAAATCTGCATTAAGGAGACAGAAAGGAATGGGAAGAGGATGAAAAGGAGCAATTGGAGAAATAGGAGGAGAGCCGAGGGAGGGCAGTGTCAAAGGCACCAGGAATGAGGCCTCGTAAGAAGGGCTGTTCTTTAGCTGTTGTTGAAGGATAAGAGCTGAGAATCTGGTTTTTGGTTACCATGGTAACCGCCCTGCTAGCAGTCTCCATGGAGTGATTGATGGTTCTGGAGTTTTAGTGTGCACCGGGATCACCTGCAGGGTTTTTTTTGGTACTCAGATCGCTGGGCTCATTCCCAGGGTTTCTGAGGTGAGGCTCAATAATATGCTTCTCTGTTGAGATCCCAAGTGATGCTGATGTTGCTGGGATGACATTGGTATGCTGATGCCCCCCACCCCCGAATGGAGGGTAATGGGAACTGAGTTACAGCTGGTGGGGAGTGGGCATGGACCTGAGGATTTAGAGGTGTTGAGGGGTCACTGCTACCTTGTTGAGTTCTGTGGCAGAGGGAAGGAGAAGGGGGATGGGATTTAGAGCAGGAGCCGAGAGGAGAGAAGCTGAGGAGACTTGTCCAGTCATGTGTGTAGGGGGTCAGCTTTGAGTGACTCAGAGCTTGGAAACACCCTGTTTCTAGAACTGGAAGAGCAACTTCCTAAACACTAATCTCTGGCCGGAAAGAGTCAATCTCCTCCAAGTCTGTAAGTCACACTCATCGGCGGATGTAGGCGTTAGGAGGCACGAGAAGATTCTGGAAAGAAGAATACCTCACTATGGTGGAATGACACTTTGATTCAGAATGGCTTCCTAGGATAGATTTCATTGCTTACCACGCAGAGCTAAGTTTTGACTATTACTGGGGTGGTGTGACCTTGTGAAGCCCAATGTCTGGTGTAAATTTTAGAATGCAGTTTGTCAGCAATGTTTGTGTGTACTTGAAGTCTTCCTTTGACCCCAGAACAGGCTGATTTGGATGATGAAGAGTGTCTGTCTCTTTGTAGTCGGGCCTGATGGGACAAACCAAAAGACACATGTACAATGTATTGTTCTGGTGCTACACCTGTAAAACAACATAGATTTCTGATAGTCTCAAGTTCCCATGGCATACCAAAGATGGGTATTTAATTTAGCTTTTAGTATCATCCATGTAAATATTTCATTTTATTAATTCATGAAAGGATCTCTGAAATAAACCTGTCTCTTTTAAGGATAAATGATATTCTTAGAATGATATAATATAAATGATATAAACTTTATTATATATATATAAAGTTTCTGAGCAGGCAGAGAAGTAAAGTATCTTTTCAAAACTATCTTTATTTGAAAAAGTTTCCTGACTCCTATAAAGATACTCACAAAGTTCAGACATGTATTTTTGAAGTAACTACTCTTTTTATCCATATACTTGGTCTATTAGATGCTGCTTTGACTTATCTTTGGGCAGACTCAACAGGCATTGTAAGTCTTATAAGTTACCTATCCAACAAAGAAAGA